GTCTCCCTTTCTCTCTGCCCCTCCCCTGCTCACGCTGTGTCTCTCTCTCCTTCAAAAATAAATTTAAAATATTTTAAAAAAGGAAGAAATAAAGAAAGAAAGAAAGAAAGAAAGAAAGAAAGAAAGAAAGAAAGAAAGAAGAAAACACACCAACAGTGGTTCCTCTTTGGAAGTGGAATTGGTTAAGGAGAAAGTGAAAGAAGGCGTCCAGCAGGGACCTTTATTTCATTCACTCCTGTGTCCCCAGCACCTGGGACTGTGACTCCCATAGGTTGGTACTCAGTAAGTACACAATGAGCAGAGAGATCAGAAAATGGATTTGTGTGTTATATATGGCCTGTATGACAACTGCGATTTTAAAAAATAGCACTTAAAAAACAGAGGAAAAAAAACACTAGGTAAACGCAGAATAAAAACTTTTTTTAGGAAGGAAAGCAATTTAAAAATCTTTTTAATGTTTATTTTTGAGAGAGGGAGAGACAGAGTGTGAGTGGGGGTGGGAGTGGCAGAGAGAGAGAGGAAGACAGAATCTTAGGCTCCAGGCTCTGAGCCATCAGCACAGAGCCCGATGCGGGGCTCGAACCCACGAACTGTGAGATCATGACCTGAGCCGAGGTCGGACGCTTAAGCGACTGAGCCACCCAGGCGCCCCGGAATGAAAGCAATTTAGAGAAGAAAGGAGAAAAACAGCATATCGTTTTCCTCCAGGCCCAGGCCTTGATGAGGGGCTAGGCGTGCAGAACACATCTGCACGGTCTTCAGCCACTGTGGGCGTTTCCCGCATTGTTCGCTTTGCTCTCGGCTCAAAGGACACTTCCCACCTGGCCAGAGCTCTGGGCAGGGGTCCTGGCTAAGTGTGTGTCCAGGAAGGACTCTCCCCCTGGTGTACGTGCTGGGGGCCCTGGGAAGTTTCCACTAACCACCCAGGCCTCCTCCACACCACTTCCAATGACCTCTTCAAACGGAAAGGTGTTGGTTTCTTAAAATATTTTGAATAGCTCAGATGTTCTAACCCCCCGGGCTGCCAGGCGGAGGACCAGACAGCCTTTACACGGAACAGCTTCCACCCAGGGGCGCTGGCTCCAAACCCCAGAAGGACGCTGCTCGAACCTACTGTGACAGCCCCTTTCTCCGGAACAGCTGGTCCATGTCAAAGCCTGGCATGTTCCGCTGCCGTCTGAGCAGCTGACTCAGAGCAGGGCCACAGTGTTGTTCCTCTGAGAACGAGTGGCCTTTGCTGAAGGCAAAGTTTGATTTGAGTCCCCCCTTCTGCCCCCGTAAAAGACAAACAGGTGTGATGACTGTTGTTGACCAGGTACCCCGAGTGCCCGAGCCAGTCCAGGCTCCTCCAACTTCAACGTTTGTTACGCGAATGAAGAGACCGGGGACAACATGGCACCTCATGACCATGGATGTAACTTCTAGACTGGTGCTGTGATAAACAGAAAAGGGTCAGAGACTTGTCCTTACCATGAAGTGTGTCCGTGATTGGAGCCCTCGCTCGTGTGAGGCTGTGGCCGTTGACAGAAACCACAGCCACCAAAGGGGAATTCAGAAACCCGGGCCCTTGGCCACTCGAGCAGGCTTTCTTGAGGTGGCCCCAGTAAAGCACCTGGGGAACTTTCCTGCCTTTTTCTCCTGCTTAAGTTGGAGAATCAGCAGTCCCGAGTCGCCTGGCTGGGTCACCGGGCTTCTGGGGCGGCCACGGCCGTGCTGGGAGAGTGGACACGTCCCAACACCCTCTGTTTACCTGTCTGGCCCTGCCGTGTCTAAGTTCTCCTCGAGTTGTGCCTTCTGGTGATTCTAAGTAATTCCACTGTTTCTTCTACTATGAGAAGGAAGGAGCTAGAAGAAATGGATGAAAACCAGTTGGGAATCTTCTGATCCATGGAAAAGGCAGACCTCTCTGCGCCGCTCATGTAATAACCTGGGAGTTAGCCTGACTCCGCGGCAGCCGGGGAAATGCATTCTGGGTGGAGCACTGGTTTATAGAACTAGGCAGGTCCAGCCCGCTAGCTCGGAGCTGTTTTCCCACGGGCTTGGAACTGGCAGGTGGCCCCACCTCACAGACTCCCCTCATCCCTGTGCCAACTGTCCCTAGGTTAAGCTTGGCCAAAAGTCAAAAACCAAGAAGGTGAAAATAGGTCACCTTTCTCAAGTCGACTGATCCAGGACGCTACATGTCAGAATCAGACATCTCTATGGCTGGGAGAGACCTCTGTGGATCTGGGGAACAACGCTTCATTTTACAGATGAGAACGTTAGTTTCCAGGGAGGTGAAATGGCCCAGCCAGGGTCCCAGGGTGTCGAATACCAGAGACTGAAGCTTCCTCGTGCCCGTGTAGGGCTGACGCTGCCCCTAGACTTTGAACGCCCTTGCTCTCCGTTTTCCTGACTCTGTGGCTGACACTGTACTTTGCAGTTAGGTTGTATTTTATTTTTTTAGTTTATTTATTTATTTTTGAGAGAGAGAGAGAGCGCGCACGCGCGCGAAGGAAAAGAATGATTGGGGGAAGGGCAGAGACACAGGGGAACAGAGGATCCAAAGCAGGGTCCGTGCAGACAGCAAAAAGCCAGATGGGGAGCTCAAACTCACAAACCGTGAGACCGTGACCTGAGCGAAAGTCAGACGCTTAACCGACTGAATCACCCACGTGCCCCCGCAATTAGCTTTTTATTGAGATTAATCTACAGATCCTCAGGGCACCTCTTAGTCACTAGTATCCATATCAAGAAATAGAACAAAACTAGCACCTCATGAGCCCCCCTCCCACCTTCTCTGAGTCACTTCCTCCAGGGTAACCACTATCTTGAGCTTTGTTTTACTTTTTATTCCAACTTCCTTAATATAATATACTAGCCCGACTTTTTTTTTTTTTTAATCACCATACAAAGAACACATCTGATGTTGGTTTGAATTCAGAAAGGGGAATCTTTCATATTTCAAGTGAAAAGCGTCCAACTTCCTGGTGGAATCACTCTCAGACCCACTAGTTCCCAAACTGGAGTTTCCGTCTGTCCCCCCAAACCTTTCGAAACCATATTTCTCAAACATGTTCCTTAATTGATTGCCATCTTGAACCCATGTTTTCCAAGAAACACGGGCGTTTGTGAACCAGGTTCCTCTACGGTGGAGAACCACCGTCCTAAACCAATCAGCCTGAGACTGACAGGGACAAATTCAGGTTTATTGCCCACCGGAGAGAGAGGGGTCACGTCGCATAGGGACCTCGGGGCATCCCACAAACAGAAGAAGGTAGCATACATCGTGATGAGGTTGGGGAAAGGTGGGGTTTAGCGTAAACAAAGCCTGTCTTGATAGGCTCTAAGCAAAACAGGGCAGTGTCTGAAGGGTCGGCATCAGCCCAGACTGCAAAGCTGATGCAGGCTGCTCCTCTTCCTTGGGGACCGCCAGGTTGAGGTAGACGTGGGACACCTGCTACCCGCCCTCTGAAGCTCTGTGTTGGGGATGAAAAACCAGCCTGCCTCACGGACGGGAGTAAGATGTTTCCTTCTCGCTGATAGAGCTTCAGGCCATAATGCTCCCGGGAGCTCAGGATTTTAGAGAACCAGGTTTCTCTGTAAGAAATAGTCGTCACTCAGAAGGACGTTATTTTGACACTGGGCAGCTGAGTGCGTCCGGGGGAGACAGGTTTGTCCTGTCTGCTTCGCAGTTGCTTTATCTGAGTCTGTTATTCCGGCCTGATGAATGGGGGGCCCACTGTCTTCTACCTACTGTCTCAAGCTGTACACATTCTTTCGCCCAAAACAAGCAGATCGATTAGGAAATACGAGCACTCACTTCATGCCGGGCACAGAGCTGGGTCACCCCCCTGAACAAAGGGACCCCGATCTAGTCCTTCCCAGCCTGAATTGCCCTCCCGGTCTCCGCACATTCGGGTCCTAACCACCCACGCGATCCAATCCGGAAAGCCCCCTGCAGTGACAGGTTCCTGGCTGCCAGATGGGAAATGCAGTCGGCCTCTGACAGACGCTCTGGACTTGACCTTTTGCTCTCCTCAAGGCCCTGTCTCGCTTTCCAGCCTGCGTCCTGGCTCCGTCCATACTTTATTTCCTCCTTTAGACCTTGACCCTGGCAGACGGCACCCACCCCCCTGGAAAATCACCCCTTCCCGCGCCCCTCCTGGAGACACTCTTGTTTGAGAGGGCTGATGTGGGGCCCCCGCAACTGTTTTATTTTAAAGTTTGTCAGGTGATTGGTTCTCTGGCCGGGTTTGGAAGCTGTCGCCCAGGAGCAGCTAGCCGGGTACCCGGTCTAGAGTGGACATTCACTGCAATCCAGTGACTCCAAGGCTGAGGCCACCATTGGTGTGGTCACCTCCCGCGGCCCCATCAGCCCTCAGCTGGAGCGACAAGTCCCGCGACCCGCCCCTGCCCCTTCCACACCCCCGATAGTCCCTTCACTTTACACCCTTAGAGCCTCTCTGCCTGCCTGGCTCACGGCTCCATCCTCAGCATCATCGGGTGAACACATTAGTAACCTTGGGTTTGAATCACAGCCTCAGATCCCAAGCGAACTCAGAATCGTCTGGAGGCTGGCTGGTGCTGCATATCCCCACACTCCCCGGGAGCACTCGGAGACCCAGATTCAGGGCCCAAGACTCCCCGGGGACACTCGGAGACCGAGATTCAGGGCCCAGGACTCCCCGGGGGCACTCGGAGACCCAGATTCAGGGCCCAGGACTCTGCATTCTAAGCTGCTCCCTGCTGAGGCTGAGGCAGGCAGAAGACTGCCCTCCACCACGGGACCCGCCCCCCTCATGTCCCGGGTCCCCCCACCCCCGCCGTCTGAGCAAAGGGCCGCACGTTATGGGTGCAGGGAGAACACCTCCACGCTGCGGGGGTGCCTTCGCTGTGTGAGAGTAACACGGAGCCTGAGCTGTGGACACCACGGTGACGTTTCCCCACGGTTCTTCTTTTTCTCCCCAAGGCCCTCTTCACGATTCCCAGACCCGCTCGGGCCTCGCCGCCTGCTCGGCCTTCCCAGGTGTATGACGTGCCGACCCAGAGCCGGGGTCCCCCGGTGCGGAAGGTGAGTCTCAGCCGTGGCCCTGCCCCACACGTGAGGCTCTCCGCGCCACCCAGATGGCTCCCCCGCATCCCTGCAGGCACCGCCCGCCTCTCCCACACCTGGTTTTGAACACCTCCCACCTGCAGGTTCCGAGGTGGGCCAGTGATCACTGGCTCGGGGACAAAGTCTCCTCCCTGGGCTCTGGGACAGGCCGGTCGCCTCCAGCCTCAGCCTCCTGAGATGCTCCCCCCCC